GGTCCAGGCTTGACTACGGCTGTCAAGTCTACGGATCGACAAAACCACACATCCCGAAAGTGCTGGACCCAGTACAAAACCAAGGGGGGCATTAGTTATTAGCAAAACTCGAACATGGATTCAGTTATGCGAAAATGGAATTTGGAAATGAGAATGGGTCTTGGAAAATGAAAGATTTCAAAAAGTGAAAACTGGGGATTAATGTTTATGTCCACAATTGAAGTGACTGTTTTGGATTTGAGTATGCAAATGAATTTGGTATTGGAAAGATTCTGTTACGGATTAAATCTCTAGCAGATTTGTTTACATCATATTTCAGTGCATTCATATTCTTCCACATTTGTGATTCCACAGGCTATATTTTATCTTGACCGATGTATAGAACACTGTCCAGCAGCGTTGCACTTCAAAATCCAAAAGGCAGAAGCACTAGCTCTAATGGGCAAGTACCAGGAGTCTCAGGAGCAGGCCAAGTGAGTTCTAGTTTGTCGACACCACGGCCAGTCCTGTCTTATGGGATGAATTAGTGCACCTGAAATCTTTTGTGTCATGTCTTTGGGCATACTGTTTTTTTCTTGACTGAGATTTATGTATGGTTATTTTCTTTTTACTCAAAGTATCCTTTTTATAAGAAGTATAGTTATGGTAACTTTTTTGCAAAACTTGAATTAATTTGAACGTTCAAAAATTATGTTTCTGTCTAAACATGAATGAAAGTTGATGTCTGTTATAAAGTTTTGGAAACTAAGAAGTTGTGATGAGTTTTTATATAAATATATGTATGGCACATGTGATTTCTCAAAATTTGCCTTTTAAATTTTAAAGATTCTTTGTTAGTCATAATACTTAAAGACTTGTCTTAATATGCATTTCTGATGAGCAAGTAAACATTTTTAGTGTTTGAAAATATCAAGAGTCATTTTCTTGTAGTCAAATGGTTTTTAAATTTTATTAACTACCAGTTCCTTCAAGTTTTTCCCTTTCCACTATCATTTTTTTTTTTTAACACAAATTTTTTGCTTTTTTTTTTCAGCGACATACTCCAGAGAAAGGGTATGAATGCAGATGCACTGTATGTGAGGGGCATGTGCTTGTATTATCAAGATAATACTGAAAAAGCTTTCCAACATTTCCAGGAAGTGCTGAAAAGAGCCCCTGATCACCACAAAGCAAAAGATATTTATCGGGTTGGTTATGATTTCTATGAAATTACTATCCTGTTCTTTATTATATTATGAAAGTTCCTCAATTTAATTTATAAGATTTATTTACTGTACTGTTGAGTGTCGCCATGGTCTACCTCATGCTTTTGATCTCAAGTGCTGGTCTATCATATTTGATTCAGAATCTTTTGGTGGTTTTTTGGGGGGTTTTTTACCTTTGACTTTATATTATATGAACTGACCCTCATCAGCGACTTTTTTTTGGACGGGAGTTTGACTCATCTCGAGTTATTAAGCTGTTCCTCTTTGTTTTCCATTTATGTATGTGCACATTGTCTTCTTACAAGTTGGAAATTTATTATGTTAAACCTCTCTTCAGAGGTGAAAGCTTTTCAGATAATAAGGAGTGGAAACCTGAGACAATTTTAAGTATGCTCAAGAAACTTAATCACCAAGTGAAGGACAACTTGAGGGAAAAAGACTTATTCTGGTTACTGCTGTGTTTTGAATACAATAGCAGTTTGTATTGTAGAGTTGATTCCCTTTATGCCTAAATCTTTTAAGAGCTTTATTTCTTGCTGCCTTTGTAAAAGAAATGTATTGCAGGTCAACAGCTCAGCGTTAAGACTCTGTCATACGTCATTTGTCAAAATGGTGTACGGCAGAGTGTTACTCTGGGTGATATGTCTGCTTATAAGGTATTTTTAGAATCCTGGTGGTGACCAAGTATTACTTTCTTGGGAATGGTTGATGCCATACTGAAAGGGGGACTGGCTGTAATGAAGTTATGATATTGTTATATAAATGTCGTTTGGAATGTTTTTCAACCATTTCAGGATGTTTTGCCAAGCTTTTATATCAGACCTGTGTGTGTGTGTGTTTAAAGTATTTTTAAGGACTTCAGTTTTTCACTTTGTTACATTGGGCTTTATTTAAAACCTTTGCAGAGAGCAAAACTGTTGGCAGGGAAAAAGGATGAGGGCAATACTGCATTCAGAGGTGGAAAATTCCAAGAGGCGTATGATCTGTACACAGAGGCGTTGAGTATAGACCCAAACAACAAGTCCACAAATTCAAAGTTGTTCTGCAACAGAGCTGCAGTATGCTCAAAGGTATTTTTCTATGTTTAAGACTGACACCTGTTTCCTCGTTGCGTTTATGATGCTTTTTATTTTTCTTTAATGCATCAGTTTGTTTCCACTTTAGTAGTTTCATAAAGGATTCATAACTCTCTGATTGTATGCAACTTCTCAGTTAATAATTTTATCCTTTTTACACATTTTTTTTTCTTCTTCTATACAGTGCTTCCACTCTTCCGTAATTTTACGGAAATCCGTACTTTCTGCCAGTTCCGTACTTGTTCCTCCATCATTATCAACTCCCTCCGTAAAAAGCTGCGACAGGGTAGGACTACCGAAATTCCGTAGCGAAAGATCCATACTAGCCTTAGTATCGTCTAGTACTAGTATAAGTTACGATATTTACGGTAATTCTCTCGGTAATAAGTTAATGTTATAGAGACCTGCCAGATCGCGGCAGTACATTTTTACCCTCCGTCAAAGACAGTTGCAGTACACTTCTGCCGAACAGGCAGACGTGTGCTGCAACCGGATTTGACACTATACGGGGAAAGGATTCCTGTCCAGGACCAAGATCGTTTCCTCAGCATTATATTTGACAAAAAAACTCACATTCATACCACACATCAAAGACCTTCGTGTGAGGCGCCAGAAAGCATTAAACGCTTTGAAAAGTCTATCGCATCCGGAGTGGGGCGGGGACTCAAAACACCTTCTCCACTTGTACATCTCCCTTGTCCGGTCCAGGCTTGACTACGGCTGTCAAGTCTACGGATCGACAAAACCACACATCCCGAAAGTGCTGGACCCAGTACAAAACCAAGGACTCCGCCTCGCTCTGGGGGCTTTCCGCACTTCCCCGGTGGAGAGCCTCCAGGCTGAGGCAAACATACCACCACTCTCACTCAGACGCACACAACTCTCACTCAGACGCACACAACTCTCACTACAATACGCAATTAAACAGAGCTCAACACCAGAAAATCTAGCGCACAACTGCATTTTTTTAAACAAACCCAGAAACCAGAAACAAATTCCAAAACAGCGATAAACTCATCAAACCCTTTGGTCTCAGAATCCTTGAGGACCTCAAAAACTTACACTTTTCCACAAAAGACATCCAACAATTTCTTTTCCCCGACCTCCCTCCATGGCACCCCACCAAGGCAAAAGTAGACTTACAGCTGACCACACACAGCAAAGAAAGCACAAACACCAGAACTTTTAAAGCAGAATACAAAAAACTAATAGATAAATACCCCGGTGCGGAGCTCATCTTCACAGATGGCTCCAAAAAAGACAATGAAGTGGGCGCCGCAGCCCTATCTTCCAACAGTACACACCAGAGGAGACTCAATCCCGAAGCCTCCATTTTCTCTGCGGAGGCCACTGCCATTGACATGGTACTGGACTCCTAAGAAAATTCTCCTAACAAATCTTTCCTTATCCTTTCCGACTCTCTGTCTTGCATCGCCTCACTCTCAAACTACACACTCCTACACCCAAAAATAGGCTACAACAGAAAATTCATACCCTATCTGAAACAGGAAAAAATATCATGTTCGCATCTATACCTAGCTATGTGGCCATCCGAGGGAACGAGCAGGTAGACGACCTGGCGAAGAAATCCTCATCACTTCTGTTTGGATCAATGACGAATACTCTCCCACAGACTGACTTTAAAAATAAAATTTAAAAGTACACCTCCATTTTGTGGGATAGCCACTCGGAAAAACAGAAAAATAACAAACTGTCTAATTTAGAACCCAAACTGGAACCGCGAAATCCTTCAGACCTTTCCAGAAGAGACGAAGTCATTTTTACTTGATTGCGCATCGGACACACGGCCCTGACCCATAAATACCTCCTACAGGGAGATGAGAAGCCGTTCTGTGTCGGATGCGAGATTTTTTACCATTAGATACATCTTAACCGAATGTCTAGACTTTGGAGAGATCTGAAGGAAATACTTCAAATGCAAGAAATTGCAAGACATTTTTTCCGTCATTGGTCGCAACAGAATTTTGAATTTTATGAAGGCCATTGGCCTTTATGGCAAATTATAAAGTGAAATTAAACTATTTAAAATTTTCAAGTTATCTAGAAAAATTGTTTTAGATTGAAAATTTACACCGATTTTTAAACATTTTAACATTTTAAGATCTAACTACTGACCCGACCCAGCCGTACAGTAAACTGTTGTGAACAAAACTAACTTGTGTTTCACGCGCTCATATGACCGTATGCAGTTGCGAGCATGGTAAAACCCAATACTAAACAAACAAACATTTTTACTTGTCGATTGATCGAAATCTGGCGAACTTTTTGTGCCAATTTCTTCCTTTATATCGATCGCTCTTTCCGTCTGTCCATCTTCGGATTGTTGCAGCGGCTGGAAAATCTGCGCGTTGATCAAGTATATTGACGTGTGATCTTAGACAGAAAATTACTGTTAGAAAGAAACTTTTTTACAAATTTGTCTAGATCTAGAGAAATGATCAATACGAAGATTCTACGGCAGGGGAACGTGATAAGGGTCATGATGAAAGAAATTTATGCTAAAACAGCCTAAAACTACTAAAGTCAAGAATAATTCGAAGTGGTGTTCCGAGGTTGTGACATGCAACATTCAGGCATGAAATTTAAGGAAAATTAGAGTATACGCCAGGTAACTGTATTGTGAAGGTACATATCTATTAATTATTCCCTGGTTTGCCTTCTGTCAATGGTGCAATGACAAATTAATTTAGTTATAGTAGCAATGGAAGGGGACCCTGCTTTTAAACATTGCCATCAATGGAAATATATTATGTAGATCTTGGTGAAGAAGTTAAACAAGACAAAATGTTGGTGAAAAAATAAATGTTATAGTTTGCTGGCAATCTCTTCAAACAGGCTCCCAAATGCCATTTTCAACCATCTAAAAGCACTAAATTTCATATTCTTTGGGGGCTTCGCCCCGTGAACCCCGCCGGGACGCTGTCCCTGGACCCTGCTTCGCCCCTGACCCCCGGCAGAATTTTCCTTACTTTTCAGCTTCAGCTGGTGGAAGTACTGTCTATATATTGTGTGGATACAAGTTCAATTATATCGTGAATGTTTTTAGGTTTATGCTGTGTAAAGTTGTAGCTCAACATGTCTAGTGCTTATTAGTGCTTATTAGTTGCGTAACATGAAGCAGCTAATTTATCAGTCCTTTGCAAAAAGGTCGAACTTATGCCAATTTTGTGTATACTAAATTACACCTGACCGGACTTTTGATATGGACAATTGTTAGAGTTCCACTTAGTTGGGAGCAATTTCTTTCTTTAGATTTCTGATACATCTTCAGAGTCAATACATAATTTGCTTTGTTGTTCAGTAATACTTTAACTCTTGCAAATGTTTCCATTTTATTGCTGCTTTTAATCGGAATTTATGTTAAAATATTATCTGTGTTGACAAAGAGAGGGAAGTTATTTTCATGTTTTTATTTTAAAATTCAGAATTTATTAGTTGGAGAGTATATTGCCATGTCTTTTTTGGTATGGTTTAGGTTTGGGACATTATTGTTTTTAAAGAGTGCATCATTTTCTTTTCTCTGTCTCACTCAGCTTGGGAAACCGGAAGAGGCTATTCAAGACTGCACGAAAGCAATTGAGTTGGATGAGACTTACCTCAAAGCTTTCATGAGACGAGCAAAATGGTTGGTGCTTCCAAAGCATTTTTCTTTTAATTTCAGAATGTTCAGTTCCATTGTATTATGCTGGTGCTCAACTTGAAAAATATAATTTCTGTATGAGATCTTTTAGTTACTTCAACACTTTATGTCTATTGGTGTTTTTTCCCCTTAATTGGGAACAGCTGTGTATGTTTTATAAAATTTCAATGATAAACAGACAGCCTAATCTTTGTTCACTGAATCAATGGGGGGTTTTTTCTGCCATGTTTCTGTTTTCCTAGGTGTAGAGGTTGAAAGTTTAAAGAGTGTCATGTACCTTTTGTATTTTTCAGTTACACGGAAACAGAGTTGTACCAAGAAGCTGTGAATGATTATGAACAGATGTACAAAATGGCAAAGACGAGAGGTGAGCTCAATGTTCTTTTTTTTTTAGAACATGGAAAAAACAAAACATATGTTATGTCTCGGAGGTGCTTCTAGTTCAGCTTGTTACTTTTCATCGTGTAAGATGCTAAAAGTGCACATGGGTACAGGGCGTTAAACCTGATATATAGTTCAGAGCTGTTATTGCTTAGTCAGCACTCCGTCCCGAAATCTTTTTCAAGCTCCCATCCATGTGAATTGTCAGTTGGCAGGGTAGTTTTGTCATCCTTAAAAGTTCTCAGCTCTGAGAGGCCTTTGTTACCTGAATCTCCCACATTTCTCCGCACCACCTTGTTTTTGGTTGTAAGAAAAGGATGTATCAATTATCCAGGGCTTCCAGTCTTCCGCAATTTTGCGGATTTCCGCAAATTAGCAGAATTCCGCAAATGGAAAACTTTCCGTGAAAATTTGTGCCCAAAAAAATAAAAAATGTTTTCAAATGCGAAATAAACAATTTCCGTTATTACCAATAGTCAACAATAACCAACCCATACCGGAAGTGCTCTTTTATTTGAAAGTGTAGACAGTGTCTTTCACTTTCTAAAGCTCAAGAATCAGAGCACCAGCTATGTAAACAAGAGGAAGAAATGACGATTGTGATTCAGTAGATCTTGGGCCTGCCAAGAAAAGAAAACGCAAAAGAGAGCTTGATTTTCTTTACCAGACTTGTTTATTTGTAAGTTTTGTTGTAGATTGAAGTTGAATAAGCTGTCAAGTTATTTAGATCTAGACTAGATCTAGATCAAGTCAAGCTGTTATACTATTATTATAAAGATTCTACACCTTGCAAACCAACACTAGCAGAAAAAGGTTGAACATTAACTATCAAGTTTTATAGGTCTAGTTGTGTTTGTACAGTATCTGTACAAGGGAGAAAGCATGGCTTTGGATTTGGAAATATATGGATTAACACAAGCAGAAAATTATGTAGACCTATGCAAAGTGTGTTTTATTTCTCACTTATTTTCTATTAAATTTAGGCTTAAATAGCCAGAAATGGCATACTTAGGATGCTCTGAAACCAAAAATTCTTAAACATAAATTCTCAAACATAAAGGGGATGCTGTCCCCTTTCAACCCCCTGCCAGGGCTCCGCCCTGGACCCGAAAATCCTAGAAAAATGACATCAGCTGCTGGAAGCTCTGATTATCACTTGTGGCTTGAAGAGGTCTGATGATTAATTACTTTTCTCTGTGGAGAAGTTTCAGCTTGTACTCTGCCATTGTACAAAAACTATTTGGAAAGTGGAAAATATCGGTAGTGAAAGACTTTGTGTCTGCTGTGCGTGTGAAATTGTGATAATGCTAATATCTGGCCAAATATTTTTCAAAGTTCCAAGCCGCCCTTTCCCCATTCATGTGGTGCTTAAGGCAAGCACTAATAGATTTTAGTATTTTTGCTGTTCATGACAACAGTATCTTGAAACATGACAACAGTGACATTGAAGGGTTATATAAAGAACATGTACCAAGAATTTTTAAATGTTCGCAAAAATGTCACCATGGCAGCCATCTAGAATTTTTTAATGATTTCACATTTTCTCATTTCTAAAAAAAAAAATTATTTAAGATTTAGCCCACAGATTTGCAGTGAACATACTTTACAAACTGGGGTGTGCCATAATGAAAAGAAAACATGATATTTAAGACTATTATATGTTTATTTTGAAAAAAAACCTACAACCAAGCATACATTAGTTTTAAAAACACCCTAACACAGCGAAGAATTTTGTCAAATTCAAAAGCAATAGTCCCAAAATCTCTTCATAGTGGCCTTTAGACACCACTTCTACAGGTCCTTACAAAATATTGTATAAATATCTTGGAAAACAACCTGGCAATTTGAGAAAATCTTCAGTGGCCTTTGCTGAAAATGCCAAAGGGAGGCACGCATTAAAAGGACTGCGTCATCCACTCCTACAGAAACTCCCGAATTTATTTGGCAGGATCTGGTGACGTATTTCAGCGGTTTACAGTGTTTTTGAATAAATGCAATCGGTGCTGGGAGTTATTTTACCACATTGAGCATTAAAAGCCGTAATCAGTGGTATACAGCATGCCAACCTTCTATTCAAAGTAACATATGGTTGCTACAGTGTTTTATAAACCAAAACTGACGACGTAGGCCTTTTTTGTGATCACCCCTAGGTTACAAAAACAGAAAATTTGTATATTTATGCTGTTTTATAAGCTTTGGAGACATGTGGAACATAACATTATTTCTAGCCCAAAATCTGGAAATTGATTTTTCAAGCCAAAAACACCAAAAAATATTATTACTGCTTGCCTTAAGTTGTTGCAGGTTTTTTGGGGATGTGTCTTGTGGGGGGGAAAAAAAGAACTGTTAAATTTGTTACTTTTGCCTCAGAAAATGATTCTGATAATGCTCTTAAGTATGGGTTCCCCCAGGGCTCAGTCCTGGGTCCAGTTTTTTGTCACCATTTATACTCAACCACTTGTCAAGGAAATAGTTAAGTATGACCTAAAGTACCATTTCTATGCTGATGATATCCAAATTTATGGTTCAAGTGTTTACCAACTGAACTTAGATGAACTTTTCCATCGTGCTGAAAATTGTATTGCCTTAGTGAAAAACTGGATAAACAAAAACAAATTGATGTTGAATGATGATAAAGCAGAAGTCATTCTGGCAGGCAATGCAAAGTCTGTTAAAGAGGTTGACCACGATCACATGACAATTGGTGATGCGAAAATTACATTTTCAAGAAAAGTTAGGAATCTTGGCATCTATTTTGATTCCAGTTTGCCAATGTCGGCTGAGGTAAATCATCTGATCAGCTGCATGTATTTAGAAATAAGAAAAATTAGTAAAATATGCCTTCTGATCAATTCTAAGTATACTGCTTTACTAGTAACTAGCTTAATTTTATCAATACTCGATTATTGTAACTCCTTGTTATCAGGAATATCATTGGAGAAAGTTAAAAGACTTCAAACTGTCCTAAACAATGCTGCTTGTTTAGTTTCACGGAAAAGAAAGCGAGACTCTGCTAAACCTCTTTTACTAACTTTGCATTGGCTTCCTGTTGAGAAAAGGATTGTGTACAGGTTGGCCACCCTATGTCACAAATGTTCGAATGATAATGCACCATGATGTTTATCAAATCTGTTAAGACTGTACATTCCAACTGGGGGCTCTCGTGGCCTAGAGGTTAAGGTGTTGGCCTCTCATTCAAAGGTCCCTGGTTCGAATCCGGGTAGCGACTGAAAAATTTTTTTCTCTAAAATTGTCTCCTTTCACCTCCTTTCCTGCTCTCTAGCAATGATCTGTTGTCTGCTTTCATTTACACTTCTGCCCCCACCCCCTCACCTCCTTTGCCCCCTCCTCTGGGCTCCTGACTCTTTCTGCAGCCTTTCTACTGCTACTCCTTGGCTCCTCTTTACTGCTGTCTTTCTGCCACACCCCTGATCTTCTGGTAGGAAAGATCTACACCTGGCCTTCTCGGACAAGGGCGAAAAATTTCGGAGGGCCCGTGTGCAAGTTGCGCACGTTTAAGATCCCTTGGTGGTCTAAAATCGATAAGAGTAGGCTTCAGCCGCCACCCGGGCAGAATTGAAAATTTCCTACCAACTGAAAAATATTAGGTATGTCCTGCACGCTCATATGACCTTATGCAGTTGCGAGCGCCGTAAAACACTTTACAAAAACAAAACAAAAAACATTCCAACTTGCAGTTTAAGGTCATCAGCTGACAAAAGAAATTTATTTTACCATCTGTGAAACTTAAAACAATGTGTGAAAGGGCATTTGAATACCAAGGCCCCAAGATCTGGAATGCTTTACCAAGTACTTTAAGAGAGATTAAATCTTTTTATTCATTCAAATGTCAGCTGAAGTCATTTCTGTTTTTAAATTAATAAGATGAATATTTTGAGTAATTTTCTTTCATCAGAACACGTTTTATGTTACTGTAGTACGTTCGTCAGAACACGTTTTATGTTACTGTAGTAGGTAGTACTGTATTGTAAAGCGCTCACAGCCTGTATACTTTAATCGGGGTTGAGCGCTATATAGGCTATATGTCATTTATTGTTATTTTTATAATAAAATAACACAATTTGCCTTAAGTTGTTTTTAAAGAGGATTTTGACAGGTATTACCGCTAACCATTTTCTGACTGAAATACCCATCTGAAAATTATTGGATGAATACATAGTAAACTAATTCTATTTTTCCAAATACTACATTCTTTCATGAGATTATTTATTTTGTTTCAGAAAACAAACAGTTGTTACAAAATGCGAAGTTGGAGCTTAAGAAAAGCAAGAGGAAAGATTATTACAAAATCCTTGGGGTGCATAAGACTGCAACAGAAGATGAAATCAAAAAGGCTTACAAGAAACGAGCTCTTATTCACCATCCTGGTAAGTGGGAACAAGCATTTTCAACCTTTTTTTCTTTTTACTCGCTTTTTTTCTACTGTTCGTTGGGGACACTTCTACTTCTTCCCATCCTACTGGTCCACACTTTCCACCACAAATTTGTTGTTGAAAATCTATGAGAAATGTTTTGTTTTTTTTAAAATAAAAAAGCATGATGCAGGTTTTTTATTCTGACCGCATTTGTAAAAAAGGGAATGATATGCTCATTGAAGCCCCACCTTTGGCTTGTTTCCAGAAGCACGGAAAGAGAAAGTAGAACCCATCCTCCAAGTTGATGAATTACTAGTTTGATGCTGTGTTTAATTCAATGGGGACTGTGTCACTAATATTTCACATCTATTTCTGTTTAATTGTGGATTTTTTGAAAGAAAACGCAATGTTCAAATGATATATGACTATAGGTTCCCTGAATGACCTTGTCATCTCGTCGACCTAGAACTATTTTGTCCAAAATGCCTCTTTACTAAAGTACACTGGACAAAGTAGTTCTGAGGCGACGATCTATCATGCTGAGTTCATAATGAAAAAGAAAACTAATTTGGGTAGATCTAAATTTCGTTTTTGCAACAATTCACCAGACTGGGTGGTTGATGGGTGCTGTGGTGTGGTCTGCTCCTTCTTTCCTACCAAACTTATATTTTCCTTATCCCACATCCTCCTTTGCTTTGTATGTTACTCTCAAGTAACACCTGTAATCTTAAGCACTTATATGACCTTTTGTTTTGCAAATGATGTAAAACTCTTAATAAAACAAGAGTTGTCAGAAATGAAACAGTTCCACAACAGCGGGAATCTGTTTTCTGCTGTGCTGTTTGGAAATTGTGTTAAACCCCTTGGTGACTGGTTGGCTGGTACTCTTGTGTGGTTTGCTCCCTTCTTTGCCATCAAACAGCTATCATCCTCATCTTTCCTCCTTCATTTAAGTGTTTGTTACTCTCCTAAGGTAACACCTAATCTTGGGCACCTGTATAGCCTTGTGTTGCAAGTACCGTAACACTCTTGTGACAAACCTGAAATAACGAGTGCTTGCTTCATCACTGTCACAGATCGTCATTCCCATGACACAGTGGACAAACAGAAAGAGGAAGAGAAGAAGTTCAAGGAACTGGGCGAAGCTTACAGTATTTTATCTGACGCTAAGAAAAAGGCACGCTATGACAGTGGACAAGACCTGGATGATGAAGGCGGTTTTGGCTATGGTGAGTTTGATGAATGTACTCTTGAAGAATTGTTTCTTTAATCAGTGTTTGTATAGGAAAAAGTGTGATAGATGCCTCTACCTGAAAGACTGTGGTCATTGCATGTTGATGTTGTCTCAGTAATTATGCTCTCAAATACTTTTTCATGGTTTGTTTCAGTCGCTCTTCTTTTATACCTGAACCTTATTTGCATTTAAGACTTTTTCATCAGGCTTGCATGTTTCTTTCTCATGGGGGCTTGTGAAATTAGGCTGTGTAGGTCAAATGTTTCTTTTCTCAGGTTTCAAAGTCTTATGTGGTCTGTGTCATCTCCTTCGAACCAATTCCACATGAACTCTCTGAGTTGGTGTTTTATATTGCATTCATGAATTTGTCGTATTCTTCAAAAGTTCTACTTTACTCTGAGATACTTGTATTGTTGGATTTTGATAAGGGTCCTGTTCATTTTCACGTCATTTCACAGGATTGCTGAATATTTCTCATAATGCAAGCCCCCTTCTGTATGTCTGTTTTTACTTGTTTGTTTCAGACTCCGTTGACCCGAACCAGATCTTTCAAGCCTTCTTCGGAGGAGGCAACATGGGAGGCTTCAGCTTTGGCGGACACCCCGGAGCTTCACACTTCTCCCATGGGGGCCACTCACAGCACTCGGGTTTCCCGGGCTTCTCCTTTCAGTTTGGGTGATGTCTGTCCCCGCGGCGCGAAAACCTGGACGTGCACTTTGGGCAGCGGAGCTTTTGAGTGTAGACTGAGATGAAGATGACAGTGTACAGGTGTCGGTGACACAGGGTGATGATGGATGTGAATGAACTCTGTGCAGCTCCAAAGTGCTCTATCTACACGTGACATAGAAGTCCCCTCCCCTCTTCCCTCTTCCGCTGATGGCCCCTGTCTGACAGTTTGGTCTGCGTATAGAACGCACACTATTATCACAATTCAAAAACGTTTTCAGGTGTTTTGGTTTTTTGTTTTTTTTTCCTAAATATAAAACTCTTAAGAGTTCAATTTTAGAGATATTGCTCAGGATGTATTAAGGAGCTGTTTATGTATCTGTATATATATGATTGCATTTTTGGAGAAATATTCTAAGATAGTTCTCAACTGTGCGCGCTTGTATTTTACTGATTTATTAAACTTGTGAATGAACACATGATCCATTGAATCTATAAACCTGACCGCAGCTCCCAAAGTTGTATTTGTCATTTGTTGATCGAATAGTGTGATACTAGTGTCAGTGATGCTGGTGACAAATACCTGGATTCTAACCTGATGGAACTATTTGCTGACGAGGGAACAAAAATATAGGATTAAAATCTTCTGCTTTCATGCTTGTTCTCTCTTTAGGTTGTGTTGAAGCCAAGAGCAAGACTTTGCTCCCTGAGTGGAGTCTTTGTTTCCATGAAGTGCTTGTGTGTTATGTGGGCACAAGCCTCCTCGAAAAGCTGTTTTGTTTAACAAAGAAAGGTTTAAAAAAAAAAAAAAAGCCACGGGAAAAAAATTACTAAAGCTTAACAGGACCAAGATTGCATATCAAACTTGGTAGTTCAAGTGACTGCTCTCTGTTACTTTATTACATTTTATGTGTTCATCAGAAACTTAAATTTGGTATGGTCGTGCAGTTTATCGGGGTTAGACAGTAGTTTCTCCAGAGGCACATATATGGATCACTGGCAAAGAGTATAGTATGTCTGGGGTTGTTTTGGGGGATATTTGTTTTTTAGTAGTGCATGTATCCCTGATTCATAAATGTTCAGCTAATGGTTAGACCTTTTTGCCATCTATACTGTATGCATGTTTTGTAAATTTTGAGAATTTGAGTGCAGAAAATATGGGCAATGTGTATTTATCTCCCCATAGTTGTTAGTGAGGGCCTAGTCTATGGGTGCCAAACCATCTACTACATCTTTGACTTTAATTTATTCTGTATCTGACTGTTTTGAACTTGTTACCCAAGAGACAAAAATGAGCGGAGTACATGCGTGTGATTGGTTCACATATTTGCTGAAGTGAAAGAGAGACTGCTTGACCTATGTAGGGACAGAAAATAGACGTAGGAAATATATTTGCAATTTTTCCTCTCTTTTTTTACTCGCAAAGTTTGGCACCCAGGATATTTGGTTTTCATTGATATTCTCCTGGTAATGTGTACTGAATGTGTGCTGTAAATAAGATTATTTAAAAGATTGTGCCCTCCGTTCATTTATTTGACATTGTTTGTTTTTTTGTGCTGTTTTTATAGAAACCATGCAGCCCCTCCTCCCCTTAACGTTGTAACAGCTCCATGCTGTTTCAATCAAGCAGTTCATAATACTGAGTGTATACCGGTGCATACTTTTTTAGCATCAATATACATTTTGGACTCGGCACGTTTAGATTGCCTGCTCAAATATCTACACTGGCTAGTTATCCAAACTTGAACACAATCTTGAGTGTGCTCCCTATAGTCTTGTAAGAATGTCTTTGAGTATCTGTTTACATTTTCAGATGACTAGTTTTCACTGTTTGAGTATGCCCTTATGTGTGTATAGGAGTGCTAGTTAGGAGAAGGCAGCAGTTCAAGGATTCTACAACTGGAAACACCTTGTGACTTTTGTCCAAAGTGTGTTGTAGCTTATGTTGTGTGATAGCTGTCCTGGGACACAGATGAGACCTGGGAAATATTAGAGAAATAAATAAGTTTGGATATAATGATGAGCGAATTTGGTTTGGCTGACTCATCTCCAAATCTGTCCTTCCAAGTCTAATAGAGTTCTCTTCCCTTAAAAGACAGATCTGTTTTGCATGAACTCTTTATTATGGTCTAATGTCAAACCATGTGGTTCACTTGAAATGACATGAAAATTAAGAGACGGGCGGGAAGCGCTTTTCCTTCCCGAGTGAGAAGACCGAGAAGCTGACCTACTTCTCGCCGAGACCGGTCCCGGGAACGAGAAATACTTCCCGTCTCGTGACTCGAGCAATACTTGTCGTCTCACCACCAATTTCTCTTCTCGCCCCGAAGTTCGAGCCACTCGTTCAGCGAGAAGGCTGGCCGTGGCCGAGATTTCTCTTCTCGCCCCACAGAACGAGCAACTCGTTTAGCGGGAAGGCCAGTCGCTGCGGGGATCTAAACTTAGAAACTAGGCTTGCCCTGTGGCGCAGGCAGTGAAGGAAGGTAGGGAGACCTAGGCCTAGGCCCTGATCAACTCCCCACTCGCCTCGTCTCGCCACCCTCTCCCCTCCCTTTTAGTTTCACACACAGGACGGCACGGTGATGGGTGGCACTGTCTGCGTTGTCATTTCTCGCCTCTCACTCTCGTTACTGTTACTCGTTATGTCAAACCAACGAGCAGTATCACGTCTCGGTACCGAGCAGTAGTTTAGTGCCCGAGAAGCGGCGGGAAGGGCGTTTCTCGCGAGAAACGAGTACTCGGCTCGTCTCGTGCCCGCCCCTAATGAAAATGCACACTGTTATGACATGCTTTGAAATTGACCTTGTTCTCTGTACCCTAATTCACGCCTATTAGAGTCTGGAAATGCCGCTGCAACGAATGAATATTGTGCTGATGTCACCTTATCAGCCACAAGAAAGTTTCTGTCATTTTTCAAAGTCATGTAAACAACTCTCCTTATGGGTTATTTTAATTGCTCACTACGTTCGCTTTATGTCAGGAGTTGGCCCATTCTTTCATTTGAAAAGTTTGTTTTTAAAAACAAATGTTTGTGCGAGGATTCTGAGGAATTCTGATATTGGTCCCTTATTGGCTGGCAGTTGTGTTGTAAAATTTTCAGCAAAACTTGGAACATAAGAACATGCATTACAACAGAAATTTTCTCTTTTATTATGTCATAGTGATTTTTAAAAACTCCCACGGTCGTACTGTTCACCCATCTTTTTTTTTTTTCTTCTATGGATGTAGTCTTTATCCCTCTCACAATTTGTAGCGCAACTTTGACAACATTGTATAATTCTTGCAATAAGTTTGGGAATGTACTCCTGTTCCCTACTAGAATTGGGCTTTGTATTGAGGAGAAAATTGCATAGTAAACATGGTAAAAGTGTCTGCTTGGAATGTTCCCAGATGCCTGTTTATTTCAAAATCCTGATAGTATTCTCTTTATACTGAAAATTTCCAATCTTAACATTTTGTACTGATTCCCATTTTATACTGCAATATTTGTATCAAACGTCCTGACCAAAGGGTACTTTTTAAAAAACCAAAAAAACGGAGCTCAGTTGTTTTGGGGGGGATTTTTGTTGTTGATGTTCCATTTGTACGTAGTTGTCTGTTTTCTTGTTTTCTGAGTTTGCATGGGTTCACTGTAATAGAGGTAACATAGCTCATGGTCTACATATTACTTTTACGCCTATATCCATCCATACCCTCCCTCTTTCTCTCTCTCTGTCTCTCTCTCTCTCTCTCTCTCTCTCTCTCTCTCTCTCTCTCTCT